CAAGCACTTTACTCTGTACCATTCTCATTATCATTATGATAATACATCTTTTTAATACAAACAAATTATCTTTGCCCTTTCCTGGATTTTCTATCATACTGCCTCTATTTTTCATCTACCACAAATCATGCATTTGCCTCTCCCATATATAGTGAGTGAGTGAGTGAGTGAGTGAGTGAGTGAGTGAGTGAGTGAGAGAGAGAGAGAGAGAGAGAGAGAGAGAGAGAGAGAGAGAGAGAGAGAGAGAGAGAGAGAGAGAGAGAGAGAGAGAGAGAGAGAGAGAGAGAGAGAGAATTATTATCCAACTGTCCTCATTTGCTTCTGTATACACACTAGTTCAGTCTGTTAAAGATCACCTTCCAAAATAAAGGAGCACAAACTGATGACAAGGTGGATATACACAAATTCTCAATTGGTATGCACTGTCTTTGCTCTGAAGGTGGCAGGCAGAAATAGCAGGCATACAACGATTTCATAAGAAGGTTTCCCCTAATGCCACATCTTATACCAAATTTGAGGCCGAATTAACTGTCATTTCCTTGGTAGCAAGAACCACAATCAAATCAAGGAGGCATTGTACCAATTGTATAACTATGTCAAATCATCTGCCTTGGGAGATACTCAGCTATATGTACTGTTCAGTTAATATGCTCCTGCTTAAGTAGGACTCAAAAAGAAGAGAAGAGATATGACAGGACAAGACAAGAGAGAAGATACAGGAAGAGAGATGATAGGATAGGACAGGAAAGTAAAGAGGAGAGGAGAAGAGAGGAGAGGAGAGGAGAGGAGAGGAGAGGAGAAGAGAGGAGAGGAGAAGAGAGGAAAGGAGAGAGAAAAGAAAAAGAAAAAGAGAAGGAAAAAAGCAATCTTATAAATTGGACCTGTTTTGTGCACCACTTCAACAACCCCAATAGACTCCCATCTGATGGACATTGATTCAAGCTGTAATGGCATAGTGAAACATGAGAAGCCCACATGCATTCTTGTCTTTTTACAACCAATTTACATTTGTTTCTAATTTTCTATGATACTCACTACTAAGTTCTCATTTGGTAATGGCAGACTGAACTACATCTATGCGTATTAGGTTTTTGAAAAAATATTTGATAACTATATAATCTTTATATTGCAAATCTATACCGTACATAGTGACATCACGAATAAATATACAACTATATAAGGTCTAGAGCTACTAAATCTGCAGAAGCTGGCTGGTTTAGATCTCTAAAATATAGCGGGCCAAATACTGTATAAACCTGACTGTCATAAAATAGTGTAGGCCTTATTTATAAAGGTTTCTTGTTGCTGTTTTATGGATAACTGAATTTAAATAGAAAAAAAAAGAAAACTTAAAGCTGCAATCTATATTGATCACCAAAACAGATATATACCATAGATTAACAAAACATTTGTTATGGCTTCGGTCATCAGCCAATAGGTGTTTACTTTTACAGAGCCCATCAATTAACAAATTACTACAACAAAGAAGGAAAAAAACTTTGTGAGGAAACAAATAATTATTGTTGTTGTTCACCCCCAGGGATAATAGGAAAATTCCACCCTCTCATTCACACCTGATGGAAAAGACTATCTTGTACATACAGTATATATGTAATGTCCATACAGTACTCTGCAATTCTTTTATGACACAGGAGAGTCGAATCATCCTAAAGCTTTGTCAGTAAATGACTGAGAATATCCTTCAATACTGAAGCTGATTTTAAGTAATTTTTTGACTGCAAGACTCTTTGTGTAGCAGCAGTGTATGTTGCAAGGAGTTGAATCTCACTACAAAACAATGTTACTATGCAGTATATTATAAAAAAAAAACTTTTAGGAAAAGTGAAGCCCTTCATCTTTTATTCTTTCTTTCTTTATTTCCTAAGTTACCTAATGATTCTCAGCAAAATAGATGGGACACAATATACACATTTTCAAATAGCACCAGTTCTTTTCCATTCTCAATATTATCTCTTGATGAGTCTAGATGGTCAGTTTTCCCAGTTTTCATACCAAAACTATAATTTGGTGATACCTTATCAGAATTTTCATCGTTGCAAGTTGCTATACCTTTTCCATAGGGTAAGAATGAAGTGGTACAATTTTTGTAGTGGTATCCTACAAATCTATAAAAGTAAAAAAAAAAGATATAGAAAAAGAAAATACATCTTTACTATCTGACTTTTCAATTCACAAAACCCAAATCTTATGTAATGAGCTTAAATATCCATAAAAAATAACTGACATACTAGATCTGCCTTATTACAAGCAATCAAGTTCTCAATATATACTGGTCTGGTGTTTTCTGGAGTTCTGACCCAATATGGTTGAATTCAACAACTGATGTTTTACTAAGTCAGTGTGGGAAACAGCATCGAATGAAGCCAACGAGGCAGAGACCAAAACAAAAACAAAAACAACAACAAGTAAAGACACCACCAACTGCTTTGTTGTCAGCGACGAGACATATGTTTTGGTCTGGTCATAACTTAAATCCAACAGATGCCACATTTCATCATCAACGAAAGTGCAAACTAAAGCAGACGATAACGAATCCAAAATCCGCCCCCCAAAAAAGAAATGGAATAAATAAATGGAATGACGATATAACGATACGCTCCGTCTTAAGGGGTTTATACCTCATGCTCCTGGTTTTCTGTGTAGGCGAGGTCCAGGCATTCCAGGATGTTGACGACGAGGGGCATGAGGTCCTTGACCACATCCTCGTCGTAGCGGGAAATCATCCGCTCGAACTCCTGGTAAATGCTGCCCGCCAGAGATTGCACCTTCTCCGACATGACGACGTGGGAGTCATCGTGCGAGTTGTACACGGTCTCGCCCTCGGTCATCATATCCATCTCGAATCACTTTTCTGGGGGATGCGAGCACTTATAAAAAAAAGGGGGTGACACCGCTCGTGGTTCTTATCTGACCATTTTCTTAGCGAACTGGATTTGCACCTCACATGACTAAGACGGGGTTTATTTCGACACTTTCCAGCCGCGACTCGCACTTCCTCCTCACTCAATGACGTTGCAGAGGAACACTGGCTGGTGCGTTCCAATAATGTTTTCGTCTGCTTACTCATTTTCATTGCTCTCTCCTCGTCTGCGATATTTAGCTGCCTTTAAAACTCGGCTGACATTTGGATGACTTATTCTGAGGGGATTGTTTGTGTGAATGTCCCTAAGATAATGTAAAAAGCGGATAAAGGTAATACTATTTACGTATTTTTAGGAGCCTTTATAGGTATATTGATTTTCTAATGTGAGGATTGGTTTTATGTTAATTTGACATTTTGAGAAGGGCGTGGATTCATTTACATAAAAAATAATAGTACAAAGTAGATATGAATTAAATGGTGCATTGAAATGAGTTTGATAACGAAATAAAATGGATTTTTGAATTAGGGAGTGACTATCATTTTCTCTTAAATTCCTTCTAATTGCATACATTTCCATCATATTTATTATATTATGCATGAAAATTAGAATTTTTCTTGTCATTAACGGGCAGAAAATAATCCATTATATGTCGATAATTTGCGATACTGTTATTCGAATATGTGGCTTTGGCTTCGATTAATATCCAGTTATCTCTGGCATATGACACTTGGTGGAGCTGTCATGTAGATTAATCGTATCAAGCACAAGATATAGCATTATTTTATAAAGAGGCGTAAAAAGGCAACAATAGCGAAAGCAAAAGTGAAGTAAAAAATCTAATCACACCATCCGAAATATAAACAACAAAGATGGCAGCCCTCACTACTCGTCTTCTTCGAGCAACGCAAAGGAAATGGCGTTTTTTACCCATTGCGACGAATTATCGCCGGTATTCAGTAGACCAAAGTAAAGGAAAACCAGTGAGAATCGGCTGTGCCAGCGGATTCTGGGGTGACACTCCTACGGCAGGTATGAAACTCTACTGGCGAAAATACTTCTTATCTCTCCCGGTTGTTGAACTTTTTCTTTCTTTTCCTTTATCATCTCTTTGTTCTTCCAGTAGAATGTCAATATTTGTAAATGTAGTTGGCAAATTCGAAAAAATACATAGACTCGATTGATCTGTTATATATATATTATTTTTCTATAATAATGTTGCATACCTCATGAAGATAAAATAAAATGTCATCATTTATAATGTATTTTAGGATGGTGTTACATTTCCTGATTTGTACGGGATACTTGTTTATTCCCCTCAGCGGTGTGTTGAAATACTGGCAAGGGTTGCTCTGTCGGTGTCCAGTGTTCCCCCGCCTCTTGTATTATCTCTGTTGATCCTCTTTGCAGTTTTGCACTGAAAATAGCCTCAGTGTGACCCCCCATTTTCTAGCAGGCCTGCCATTCCCTTGCTGGCTAGGATTGTACCCCCGTCAGTGCTCAGAAGCACCCCATTGCCTGAAGTAGCATCTCATCTGTGCTTTGATCCTCTGTGATGTGGCCCCATGAGGAAAGTGGGATAGTTCCAACCAACCTGTAAGCCTGTCAGCATAGGCCAAATAGATGCACCCTTCGTGCTGGAACACATCGGCCACCGTCATTTGAGAAGGGTACTCTGGGGGCGGTCTGATGATGAGTGTATCTGCAGGCTGTGATGGGATATGGGTTTCACACATCGTGCATGACTCTCAGTGGTTCTGCAGGTCTCCCTCCAGTCCAGACCAATAAACACACTGCCTTGTTCTCCACAGCATGGAGTTGAGGCCCTGATGACTGGCATGAAGGTTTGCTGCAACTTGTGGACGGAAGGACTCAGGGATCACTAGACACACATATCCCTGCTTGAAAGTATACATTACCAGGTCCTGTGCCACTGCCAGCCTGTCTCTTACATTGTAGAAGGGGCATAAGCTTGGTAATTCTTGTGCTGTGTGTTGATGCCAGTTACTGGCCCGGACTTTTGTCAGTAACAGCTGGTATACAGGGTCATCGGCGGCCACTTTCCTGACCACTACATCATCCAAGATGCATCCCTCATGTTTGGCTGTGGCGATCATTGCTTCTGCAATAGCTCCAGCGAGATCCTCATTGAGGTCAACATCATCTTCTACTGGGGGATTCCTCAGGTCGGGTACAGGGATAAGGAGTCTGCTGCAGTGTTCCTCTTCCCGGGCAAGTATTTTAACTGTAAGCGGTATGGTAGTATTCGTTCCTTAAGATGGAAGAGCCATGGGTTTGTCACATCAGTAAGTGCTTTGTCCCCCAAGATCTTGGTCAGGGGATGGTGGTCGGTGATGATAGTGAGATTTGGGCAACTCATCAGGAAGCGTCTTGCTTTTTGGAGACAACAAGCCACTGCTAAAGCTTCCCCCTCTATTGCTTCTTAGCTAGCTTTGGTGGCGGTGAGATGGCAGCTGCCACATAGGGCCAATCGCCACCCTCCTTTCATTTGCAGCAGGTGCGATGGCAGATTCAGTACTGCGGCAGTATGACGAATCTAATCCCTTCCCTACTCCAGTCAGTGATGGCTGCTGTGGGGCAGGTCTTGTCATAGTATACCAAGTCATCTTTGGCAAGCTGGCATATGATGTCCTGGGCTCAGTGAAACTTTTCTTGCAGTTGTTTGTCCCAGTACACATTTTTTCCGGTGGGCCTCTATAGGGTGATGGCGTGATGAACATGGTGAGGCTGTGGCGGCTCCACCTGATGATAGCTTGAATATGCTTCTGCTACCAATTTAAATGAGTGTTTGGTACGTTTGTTGTTTCAACACTGCATCACTAAGACCAATTATAAGCTTTTTCAGCAGCAAATATTCTGCAATATTTGCACTGCATTTAGGGCACTGAAACCCATGTGAAAAAATCACCGACACTCTCTTCCTGTCCCTGGAACGTGCTAATAAACTCTAACCACTGCACTGCCTGCTTGGAGGCACGAAGCACTAATCTTCCTATGGTGTCCAGTGCCTCTTTTTGTGACACTGCACTCCGGTCGTCAAATGTAAATTTGGCATCCACAGCTCTCTGCAGCACAGGGACATAGAGGGGTCTAATGTGATGAGCCACTTCCTGTGGGAGCCACTTGCACAAGAGGAGCCAATATTCCATGGATTGCCTCCATGATTTGAAGGCTGCAAGTGACATCTTCAGGTTGCATTTTTCTGGGGTGGCTGAGGAAAACATGGGTCTTCTTGGTCCGCATGCAATAAGGTTAGTCATGTCTGACTTCAGTGTTGTGATAGCGTTCTGCTAGGCTGCAATTGTCTGCCTTGCCTCCTGGAGCACCAACAAGAGGCTGCCAAGGACAGCAGGCATTAGCGATGGTGTTGGGTGAGGAGTAAACCCGCAATATAGAGGCATCTTGGATTAGTAAGTTCCATATGATCACTGCACCATGTACAAGGACTCAGGATAAAGTAGATACAGGGTCACATGGTATTCCTTGATCGACCAACCTTCAACTGACCTGTGCACATGCACACACACACTCATACTCACCCACTCACACACTCACACATACTCACACCTACTGTATGAATGAACTATCTTCTAACTATGTCTTCTATCTCTGCAGCTCCTCAACTGATTCACAATGGCAACTTGGACTTCCTCATGTTCGACTACCTCTCAGAAATCACCATGTCCCTCCTTACGGCTGCAAGAGCCAAGAAGCCAGAGCTGGGGTTTGCACCCGACTTTGTGCTCTATGCCATTGGACCATACCTGAAGGACATCAAACGGAAAGGTGGGTGTCGCAGCCTTTATTCATTTGTATACAATGTCTTCAATTTCTGATAGGTAAATTAATAAACCACAGATTAAATATAATGATTTCTTTGAAAGTATGAATGTGGCCAGTTGGTATTGAACCAGTTGTAATTTGTATTTTGCTGTATTATTGGTAACCTTATACAGAACTCTGTGTGTGTATATAATGAATGTGTATATGTGGTTGTTTAATTGTTTCATAGATGTCTGTTTCTCTGTACATGATGAATGCATACTGTTGTAGTTACCATAAGATTTAAGCACATTGAAATATCCAGGTATCAGAGTCCTGAGCAATGCTGGTGGAATCAACCCAGAGGGCTGTGCTGAGGCACTGAGGCAGGCAGCTAGCAAGGCTGGTGTTGATCTGAAGGTAAGTTTTTTGTCAGCATCACTCATAAAATGCTATTTATATTTTTTTGTATCCAGTGAACAAACAAAACCCTTCATTTATATTTGAAAGTAACAGATAGGGGAGGTAGTACAGTTTGTTTCCAATAGCTAAGTTGATAAGAAGAAAGCTGTGCAACACATAATACTTTAGTATACATTTAACCTCTTGTTTGTGGGTGGCATCTACTATGATGCCATAGTGGCGTAGCGCCAATGCTGAGGATGTCATCCCTACAGATGCGGCCCATACAGATATACTCATTTGGCAATCCGCATGGCTCAAGCACATTGGGTTAAAGGAAAATGTAATGACACTATGATAATCAAAGAGCAAAACTATACTCATTAATGCTTAAAATAATCCTTTTCCTGGTGATTGGTTTGTGGATTTCCCAGGAATGTCTGGAGCTCTCACTTTGTACCAAGATTTTCATTTATATAATTGCAGTAACAAGAGAATCATACATATTGCAGTGTGGATAATTGAAAGAAGGAATTATAATTAGAAAATTGGCTGTGACACTAAAAAATTACCAGGAAGCTGACAGAATGTACACACAGTAGCATATCATTACGTGTTTAAAGAATGGGAATGTTTAAAGACACCTATGTATTCACCACTGGCTTCTTGCTCATTGGCACTTCTGCTAAAGCCAGCAAGCCTGTGCTATGTGTATGTATATTCTAGCAAGAAAAAGATTGTAGACCTCCCTTACAATTTATTTAATGAAGAACCAGTCAACACTATCTTGCTAGAATGTAAAAGTTTGTAGGCCTTTCTTGGAATGCTGGAAACCACAGTTATTGCTTGACACAGTGTCATACTTGAATTAGGTATAGCTAAGGCTGTAGGACATGTTTAAAAGAAAAATGTTCCATATTGAATACTATAGATGTCATCCATACATTTACCATTATCTTTCTGAGCAGAGAAGGTTTCTATATATACTGTTGAAATGTGTTAATTTTGTTATAAAGTATGGTGTGAATGTGTCTTATTTCACGTACTGTTTTTTCCATCCTCTTTTTTTGAAAATATTATTTTACTGGAGCTGTATGGTTTTTCATGTTAATCATATAAATGGAGTGAATTCCTTCACATTCACTTTCTCAATCTAAAAATGAATGTGCAATTCTCTCTTTTGAGATAATTATAGAGAGACTTACTAGAATCAAACAAAATTGAAGCTTTAATTTTGTTTAATTATAGTAAAAGTAGGAGAAGGAACTTAAGTTGCAAAAGAGGATCAGAAAAGAGGTGATTGGGATAGCATTTGGAATGACACTGGACAAGGAACATACAAATTAAAAAGAATCATGACACTTAAGATAGTGGAACAATAATTATGTCCGTTAAGATAATCCTCATTGACTACCCAGTCATACAGGTGATTTACAATAAAATGTGATTGAGCAGGTTGCTGTTGTTACGGGTGATGATCTAATGCCAGTAAAGAAACAATTGATAGCTGCTGGAATGCCCGACATGAAAAGCGGTCTTCCTCTACCAAAAACTGTCCACAGCATGAATGCATATTTAGGGTAAGAGTCTGTAGAATTGCAGTTGCTGTATTCTTTTTAATTTTATTTATTTATTTATTTTTATTTATTGATTTATTTTTTTTACTTGAAATTAGAATGTCCAAATGAAAATTTATTAGCTAATTATTTTTTAGTTTTTTCAGTTCGAATATTTATCTGTAACTGGTTTTGAAGGAAGTTACATTTCTTTTCATTTTCTTTTTACAGAGCTGGTCCAATCGCTAAAGCCTTAGATGGAGGTGCAGATATTGTTGTTACAGGAAGGTGTGCTGACAGCTCTTTGGCTCTTGCACCTCTCATACACAGTGTAAGAGATTCCGGAACTGGTCTGAATTTTTTTTCTGCTACTTTTTTCCCCTGGCAAAGCAAAAGCTAAAGTTAGATTATGTGCATATAGAGATGTAGATCCTCTTGCCCCATCTCCTCTCCCTCTCTCTTTCTCTTCCCCTTCCTTCCAGAAATGAATAGCTCTTTTATCACTTGCAGTTTGGGTGGCAGTCAAACGATTATGACCAGCTTGCAAGTGGCAGCCTGGCGGGTCACTTGATTGAGTGTGGTGCACAGGCAACTGGTGGCATTTATACAGACTGGGATGCCGTTTCTGACTGGCATAACATAGGTATGAGGCTTTGGTTGACCTCATGGTTTGGAGGAGGTTATTCTTGCAGATTTATGCAAGAAAATGGAATGGGGATGCATTGTTTGATTTTGATGATAATGATATGACTATATTATGTGGGTGCAGTAGATGTATAGGCCTATATTGTTTTCTCCTCAGTTTTATTCCTGTTTCCTTTTTTAACATCATGTTCTTTTTCTTCCCTCATTCTAGGCTTCCCCATAGCAGAAGTGTCAGGCAGTGGAGACTTCATGATCACAAAGCCCCCCAACACAGGAGGTATTGTCAATCAGATGACTGTTGCTGAGCAGATGCTCTACGAGATTGGGGACCCACGGGCCTATATTCTCCCGGATGTTGTCTGCGATTTTACTGGGGTCCAGCTAGAGGAGACCAACTGTGGGGTCATTGTGAAAGGGGCTAAGGGGAAGAAGCCCACTGACTCATATAAGGTGGGTGGCATTTTATGGGGATATTGAGGATTTGTGCTAATGGTGAGGATGTAGATGAAAGGGAAACATGTGTGAGCATTATGTTACATAATAGAGTGTGATATACTTTAAATGTAAAACTACATGAAAACAAAAATTGAGTCTGCTAAATAGATTATATAATATTAGAAAGTACTTTATGTGTACTTCTTTTATCTTTAATTTTTTTTAGTATGACCTTTCATCACGCTGACACAACCTCAAACATTTTTTACAATATACTCCCACACGTACTCTGTCAGTCATTAGCCTCTGTGCCTACAGGTTAGTGCAACATATCTTGATGGCTACAAGGCCACTGCCGTCAGCTGTATTGGAGGCCCTAGAAGCCGGGACAAGGGCAGGAAAACCGCTGAGGCGATTGTGCAGAGATGCCGCAACATATTCCAAATGCTCAAGCTCCCCGACTTCACCAGAGTCCACATTCAGATATTGGGTGCAGAGGATACCTATGGGCCCCATGCAAGGTGAGTATGGGAATTTTGTGTAGCCTTCTTGGATTCTTCTTGAATTTGTAGAAGACTTGTATGAATATTGCATGCCATTGTCATCATTTTCATTATTACTGTTATGTTATCATTGTTGCTGTTATTATTATTATTATTATTATTATTATTATTATTATTATTATTATTATTATTGTTGTTGTTGTTATTGTTATTGTTGTAGTTTTTCTTTTATCATGATTGTTGTTATAAGTTTTATTGTTTTTATTATTCATTATTATTAGTTATTATTAGTTATCACCATCATCATCGTCACCACCATCATCGTCACCATCACCATCATCACCATCATCATCCTCTTTCTCTTCCTTTTCCTCTTCTTCTCTTCCTTCTCCTTTTTCTCTTCCTTCTCCTCTTTCTCTTCCTCCCCGCTTCTTTCTTCTCCTTCCCCTCTGCTTCTTTCTCCACCTCCCCCTCTGCTTCTTTCTCCTCCTCCCCCTCCACTTCTTTCTCCTCCTACCCTTCTTCCTCTTCATTTTCTTTCTCTTCCTTCTTCTCTTTCCTCCTCTTTCTCTTCCTGTGTCTCCTCCTTTTCCACATTTTCCTTTACCTCTTTCTCCTCCTCCTCCTCCTTTTCCTTCTACTTTTCCTCCTTCTCTTCCTCCTCTTCCTAACCTCCTTCCTTCCTTCCTTCCTTCCTTACCTTCCCTCTCTTCCTCTTCATCATCATTTTGCTCAACTTCTTCCTTGTCCTCTTCATCCTCATCCCCTTTTTTTTCTCTGTCTCCTGTGCATGGTGTAGGATTTAATTTCAGTTAGACTCTTAACCCATTGCCGCCGGGGATGGCATGTACGTACATGCCATGCCCACTGTGAGTCGACTTGTTCGATTGTTTTTACACATAGATGGCTACACTTGTACTAAGTATCCAATGAGCCAATTACGAGTACTGCCTGTCTCGCCCGTTCACCCTTTTAATCGATTTATGAAAATATTTAACGTTATCCTAATTTGCTGTTAAAAATAACACCATCTATATTTATAGCACTGGTAAGAATACCTTTTTTCCCGCCAGTTCAAGGAAAGGTGAAATCAGGACTAGCAGAGCCATCTATGGACAGACATATTTTACAAAAATATAAAAAATGAATACTGCATTCTCCCCATTTTTTGTTCATTTTCCCCGGCGGCAATGGGTTAACCCCTTGGTGCCGGGTGACGCCAATTGGCGTGTAAACAAAGAGCTCAAAAGCTGGCGTGCAGCCAAACGAGCCGGCGGCGCGCCAAAGCGCGGCGAGCCAGTGATTCGGGCTGATGTCCCCTACTCACGCGCTCAAAGTCGGCGCGCCGCCTTTGTTTGTTTAAGTGTTTAAGAGTTTTTTTTTTTTTTTTTTTTTTTTTTTTTTTTTTTGTACACCCGGCGCCATTGGGTTAATATCATGGCTGACCTTTGATACTATTGTTGTTCTGAATACTAAGGCAAGCTGACCATGATTGGGATTAGTGTCATAAGAGTAAAATATTTTCCAAAAATCTGTTAATTGTAACTGGAATTGATTTAAAATGACTGCAAATGTCTTCCCTTTCTCTCTGATGGTAAAATGAATATTGTAGCATGAAAGATTAGGCTTCAGAGAGCTCTCAGTTGTGAGAAACTTCCTGCTTACTAACATCTGCCCGACTTAGGTTTTCGTGAGGGTACATTCTAGTGTATGTGTTAAGAAGATTAAGAGTGCATTAAACTAAATTTTGCCAAGATTAAGTTTTTAGTGAGATAAGAATTTGTACAAGATGATTTTTTTTTAGGATCGGTAAAATTTCAGCTGCAGAAAGTTTTCAGCAAGATGGGCTTTTTGGATTTAAACGAGATGAAAATTTTGGAAGATCATGGTTGTATGAGGGTGACTTCCCTCCTTGTTGTTAACTCTTGCCTTTGTTAACTATTGCCTTTGTGTTTTGTCAGTTTCTCAATATGTATTATGTTTGTTTCATATTTAATATCTACTGTCAAGAGGGCTAAATTACTAAATTAAGCAAACAATTTACTCCAGCCACCAGCCACCAGAGGACATCCAAGAATTATTAATTTATTAAAGTTATATCTTATATATATCATTGTTAAATAAATAATACAAATATGTAACAGAAGATTACATATTTGTATTTTTTTATTTACTGTTGATATATATAAATAAAGATTTTATAGAAGAAAGCTTTCTTGGAGGTCCTCTGGTGGCATTATTAGATTTTATGTAATTTAACTCTCTTGACAATGCAGATATTACCAAAATGGTAGCACATGTTTATGTGTGCTTAAATCTGATTCATTTTGAGTTTGGAATCACAGAATTTCATGAGCTATGAAATTAGATGTGTATATATAGTTAGATGTGTATATAAGTCAGTTGTGCATGGAAATTTGTGTGTTCTGTATATACATTACTTTCTTTTTATTTTAGGTTATACTGAAACTAAGCAAAATATCTGAACACATCCTTGGGTGGTAACCCTTCTCTGTATCTGTTGTATGTCAGGGTACACATCTCTGGTTGAGAACCCTTCCTTGTCATTGGTGTTTTGCTCTTTTGCAGCATTGGAGAAGGTCCTCGTGAGGGTGTCATCTGGATCTCAGTCCATCATGAACAAAAGAAGGCTGTCGAGCTGTTTGCCCGTGAAATAGCAGCAGCTGGAACTGGCATGGCCCCTGGACTCACAAACATTGTTGGAGGTCGGCCTAGGGCGTCTCCTCTCCTGCGGCTGCATTCCTACCTCATACCAAAAGATCAGTGCAAGGTAATTTGTGGAAATAATGTATAAAGTTCACTCTTGCAAAAATAGATAATAATTATCCAAGCAAAAAATATTTCAATTTAGGCAAAATATAGGATCATATTTAATTGGCTATGAATAAATAGACATGAATTATTCTAAATTCTCAAGTACTTCTGTTTAAGGTGAGTATCCATGCTGATGGGAAAGAGGAAGTGTTCAACGAGACTGCAGATACAGTTCCAGCATCCACCTATGACTTTCCAGATCAGCCAGTATCTGAAACCTCAGATTTGACTAAGGGATCAAATTGGTATGTTTCTGTATGATAAAAAAAGAAAGAAAGAAAGGGAAAAAAGAGAATATGAATAAGTGAGAGAGTGCATTTGTAATATATGAGTAACATGCATAATGCCCTGTTTAATCTCAACTTGATTGGCAGCTATCGGCTGGAGTCCCTGGCTCTGACTCGCAGTGGTGACAAGGCAGACTCCTGCAATATTGGTGTCATTGCAAGGCATCCTTCACTGTATCCATACCTGAAGGAGGCTCTTACATCGGAAGCTGTCGCAGAATACTTTAGACATGTTTTCCCAGACAATGTCAACCCCTTGGACTGTGTAAAAAGGTAGTCATAGAAAGAATTTACCTCTGACAGCATTAGTGTAGTGCACTAACTCTTTTGAAGATATAGTATTACATTGTTATGTAAACTCTTAAGTGATGTTCTTTCATGGATTAATATAACTTAATGAATTTATGTTTGGAGATCTTTTGATGATGTTAAGTCTAGAAGGAGCAAGTCTTATTAGAATGAGGAGTATAAGATTTTAGGATTGAGAGAAATTTGGGGTTGTGAAGTCAACTCATTTATTTTAATTTTCCATATTCTAATTGTAAATTAAGCTTTTGCATATATATTATTATGCTGAAGTTGTTGGTAGTAACTTCACCCCACACCCCCTCACACACAACACTTAACACCATCAGCACAGCCACTAAAAATAAATATGATGATTAAAGTAAAACACTGAAAATAAATGAAGTAGAGTAAAATAAATATAAAAATAAGTAAGCAAGTGCAAGTAGCAGCTTTGGATACTAATGTGTCATCCTCCGTTTTCTCATTCCAGGTATGAGGTGGATGGTATCTGTGGCCTCAATTTTGTCCTTGAGCAGTCACTTGGGGGAGGAGGAGTGGCATCACTCCGCTCTGATCCTCAGGGAAAAGCTTACGGCCAGATGCTCCTTGACTTCATCATAAAGGATATGCCAGATATCTGCTCTGTCAGCCACTAGTGAGAGATTCAGATCACTCTTTCTCTTAGCTTTCTTTGCTAAAGCAGAATTTTTCCTCTCTTGCTTATCAAGATATTGAACTGGTTGCGCTATCCATCTCATGCTAGAATTGAGATATGGAAGTAAATGAGTATTTTTGATATAGAGAAAATAAGGATAGGTACAAATTATTATTTTCAATATAAACTGTAAAATAAGAATAATTGTTGATTTGTAGGGAAGTCATGATTGCCCAGATGTTAGTTATTGTGTATTGAAATTGTATATTATATAAAAGTACAAGGTTTTCAGTATTGACTTCTATAACCTTTTTTGAAGCAGTTTAGATAGCTACTAAAACCTGCATTCTTCCAAGTTGGTAGAATTTAATGTAAACAAAAGGAAAAGATGACTGAAAATGCATTTCATTAAAGACCAAAAATTAGTAAAGAAGAAAACGGTATATGTAAAATATTTTGAATTCTAATGATATTTCCTTTGAAAATGCTGAATTGCCTTTGTACATAACTTATGGTGCTTTTTGTAAATTAAGCTGATATTTTGTAGTCCTTGTTGCAATGAAGTTGATCATTTGAAAATGCATACACATATATGTAACAAGTATGTAATGGACGAGAGTTGGATTATACTTGTGACTTCAGTGTGATGCATGCACAAATCTTGTCTTTCATGTAATACAACAGACAAAACAATTATATTTATGTAAAGTTTGGTAAAAAAAAAAAATG